TAGAATATATATATATATATATATAATTGGTACTATTACAAACTAATATTTTTCAAGTAAACAAACATCAAATTTGGTGTTCTAAAGCAAACCAACATCCTAACACTAAAATCTAAACATCAAAATTCAAAACATAGACATAGATAGCATTCTTTAGAAAGGAAATACAATCCAACACAAGAAACTAAAACAAATAATACTATACAAAACATTTTTTGCATAAATTTGGTTCAAACATCATCTTCACTGTCGACCTCCTGGATATCTCTCGTCGATTGGTAGTGCACATACAGATTGTAGAAGGGTCGAAATAGAAGTTCATAGTTGAATTTTCCTCCTTAATCAAAGCATGTTTCTTGAACATACTTATCACTCCATCTTCAATACGCCCTGTATGTTCAAAATGTTGCTTCAGTCTTCAATCTAGATGTTCCAGTATTTTAGTAATATTCCCAAGCAAGTGCATGAGATTTTGCACATCTTTTTCTATCCTTTTGATCCTCGTTTAAAGTGCACTCATGTTGTAGTACGACTGAACATGTGATGAATTTTGAGATGCTTGATCCATCAGTACATTCAATATCATTTTCATCTCTTTCATCTCTCATTCCAATACAGTTGTAGTAGACTTCTGGATCCATCGACTTTCAAGGAAGTAGAACTTTTTCGCAACTTTCATAAGGCACTTGCGATTGACTGCGTAGTAGGAAAATAGTGGATGGATGTCCCAGTCCAATTGCGGATCCATTCATAATAATAGCTCTAACATAAATAGGTTTTCTGGTTTGAATACAGTAATTCAGAATGACACTTTCCTTAGTGACCTTACTAATCTTCATGGTAGACAGTAATTTTGATGCAATAAAGAAGTGCTAGGCTTTTGAAACTAGATTTTAAAATGATGAAGGAAAACATACATTTCCGTCATCTTTGGTCTCCTAATTAACATCTTCATTTGTAAGGTAATGGTAGAGTTCATTCATATTCTCTCTAGTAGGGGTAAAGTTTGCATAATGGCAGATAGACACATTTTCAATCATAAACATCTCGTTTATTCTTAAAGGAGTAAATTGCACAAACTTACCTAGCACATAAATCATTCCTTGGTTGATCCCATGAAGATTTGCATAAAATTCTGTTACTACGGGAACATCAACAGTGGCAGTAGTGTATGAAAACACTTCCCAACGCCTCTTTGCAACAGTCTCTTCTACTCGAGTATTTTGAGATTTGAATCCTCAATTCACAAATTCACTTTCTTTGATAAGCCTCTTCTTCACTAGAACTCGATCAATTAATTTCTGTGCATCGAAACGGACAAACTTTTTTTGGTCAAAATTCTAAATTTAGCATGGTTTATAGAGTGGGAGCCATAAGAATTGAAAAATGGTGACTCTTCCCTTGTTTTCCCCCATAACATATGGTTTGGCTTCAGTTTTTAGGAGCTAGATAGAGAAGAAACCCCCAAAAATAGTAAAAAACCCCATTTGACACATTTTTAAACATTTGTGGACCCACGACACATCATGCGCCGATCTGGTGCATGATGCGCCAGTTCCAGAATTTCCCCTGTTTCAATTTTGATCCTATAAATTCTCAATTTTGCCATAAAATAAGGCAAATAAAGTTGTTTCTAAATATTTTATTAAATACACAGACTACATAAAGACATAAACATAAATATACGCAAAATATCTCAAACAAAATAAGCTAAAAAATAAGATAAATAACGATACAAATGGGTTGCCTCCCACAAAGTGCTTGGTTTATTATCGTTAGTCTGACATTCCCAATCTTATTTTGGGTGACCCAACCTTACTATCTCTTTAAAAGCTGGTCTTTGACCATCAAATTCTAATTTCAATCTGTGCCCATTCACTTTAAATATTCATCCAGCTTTGGTGTCTTCAATATTAACTGCCCCAGAGGGATAGATTTTTATAACTCTGATTTCAATCTTCTAGGAAATAATTTCAATATTTTATTGTATAATAAAACTTCCTATCCAAGTTCAAATTATTTTTTTTCGACTTTCGATCATGCCATTTTTTCATCTTTTCTCTATAAATCCTCGCATTATCATAAGATTCATTTTTGATTTCCTCAAGCTCATTCAATTGCAATAATCTTTTCTCAACAGCCTCTTTAAAATTGAAATTGACTTCTTCTATAGTCAAATAAGATTTATGTTCCAATTCCACTGGCAAGTGATAAGACTTCCCAAAAATTAATCTATATGGGGACATTCCTATAGGTTTCTTATAGGCTGCCCTATATACATAAAATGCATTATCTAATCTAGTAGACCAATCCATTTTACTAAGATTAACACACTTTTCCATAATTCTTTTAATTTCATGATTAGATACTTCTATTAAACCACTCATTTGGGGATCATAAGCAGTTGTAACTATATGCACTATAATATATTTTTCCACCAATCTTGAAATTTTTGCATTTCTAAAATGAGATCCTCCATCAGTAATGATTACTCTCGGCATTTCATATATTGTAAGAATATTTTTAATTAAAAGTTTTGAAACACTATGAGCATCACATTGAGGTAAAGTGATTGCTTCAATCCATTTTGAAATGTAATCCACTACAATCAATATGTCTATATTTCCAAATGAGGGTATAAATGGTCCCATAAAATCTAATCCCCATCCTTCAAAAATTTCAATTTCTGAATTAAAATTTTTAGGCATTTCATTTCTTCTTAAAATATTACCTACTCATTTCTTCTGAGGCATTTCATTTCTTCTTAAAATATTACCTACTCTCTAACACTGATCACATGTTTTGATATATATATTAACATCTCTAAATAAAGTAGGCCAGAAAAATTGAGATATTCCATCCTCATCTTGATATTCAATATATTTCTTTTCAAATTCCCTTTCAAAAGTTAGCTTGAAATATTCATGGCTTAAAAATCCATTAATATCCATTGTGAAGCATTCAATCTCTTGCTCTTTTGCAGGGCACCTCATTGATTTTACAATATTAAATGTAACCTATTGATCACTAACTCTCATAGTTAGTTCTCCTTTCTGCACATCTATCAATGCTCTTCTAGTAGCTAGAAATGGTCTTCCTAAAGTGATAGGTGTTTCTTTATCTTCTTCCATATCCAATACAATAAAGTCCACATGAATAATAAACTTATTGACTTTTACCAAAACATCTTCTATAACTCCTTTAGGATATCTAATAGAACAATCTTCTATAACTCCTTTAGGAGAGGCAATCGAAGGTGAAATATCTCATAAGCTCAACCTTCTAAAAATTGATAACGACGTAAGATTAATACTGGCTCATAAATCACATAAAGCTTTTCAATAAAATTGTTTGCCAGTGGTAGAAGGAATTTTAAAACTTCCAGGATCTTTAAGTTTTTTAGGAAGCTTTTTTTGAATTATAGAGCTACACTCTTCACTGAGTGCAATTGTCTCATTATCTACAAACTTCCTTTTCTTTTTAAGTATACCCTTCATGAACCTCATA